TTGCATCCTGCTCAGGGGCTGTGCCATACAGTTCTCCTGTGCCCACTCGTGATTCTCTATATCTGAGCAGGTGGTGGGTACTGCCAAACTTTCATCCCTAGAAAGGCAGATACTTTTGAAAATAAAATTGGACAAGGCCCAGGCACCATCTTTCTCCGCTCTCCAGCTGGGTGACTCCTGTCTAGCTGCATGAATTATCCTTAGGGTGCCCAGGCTGAAAGATGAAGGAGACAGCTGGTCCCAGAGAGCCATTAATTTTCAAAGTTGAGGTAGAGGCTAGGGCCAGGCCTACCACACCAAAAGAACAGCCACACACTGTGCGTTTCAGGTCACTCTCTTCATTCCTAGCAGAATGATTTTGTTTATTTGCTCACCCTGAGGAGGCTTCCTAGGATACAGTGAGGACCACTGTGGCTAGCTTAGGAGCCCAGATGACGTATGCGCCTCAGCTTCATCACTTAATTACTGTAGCTCCGTAGCCTCAGTTGGTCACATATACTCCCCTACACCTGAGTTTCTTCATTGGTCAAACTGACCCCTTGGTTAGGAGCTTGAGTTTGATGTTCTAGAAAACATGGATAGAATTCTTTATGCTGCCAAATATCAGCTGCATAGACTTGGGCAAATTATTCTCCTCTCTTACTCTCAATTTCTTAATTCTCTAAAATGAAGATACATAGTGATAAAAATCATAACTTCACTGGGAGGGGTGAGGAATGGGGTGATGGGAAGGGGTCCTAGGCTTCTTGTTGGAGGAATGAAAAATCTGAAATTGATCATGGTCATGGATGTAGAACTCTGAATACAGTGAAAGCCTTTGAATTTTGTACTTTAAATGGGTGAGTTATATGCATGCAAATTCCATCTCAATAAAAGTTTTAAAACCTAGTAGATTCTGTATTATTTTTAATGTATTTTTATTTTTTTAAAATAAAAAATGGTTATGAAAAAGCTAAAAAAAATTAGAGCCAGTAGTTTCCACCACATGGTTATAATTACTGGCTTACTAAGTACCAAGCTCTGAAATAAGTACACTATCACCTGGTATCTTGGCTCTTCCCTTTTCTCTAACTTTCTAGAGCCTCCTCTCGTCTTATTCCATTCCAACCCCAAATACCTGTGACATGGTGCAGCTGGGAGATGAGGAATAGCAGCAGTGGTAGTAAGAGAAAATATTCTGAGATTGCTGGCCTGTGACACTATCACCAATGTCACCACCGCTGTCACATCACTGCATCACCGTCCTCATCCCCTCCAGCATCACCAAATTGCCATCTTCCTGCTCATCAGTGTTGAAGGAGTCCGTGAGGCATTATCTTTGCAAATTCTCATCTCACAGTCAAGGAATCTGAGGCCGCGAGGGAGAAGCAATGTTCTTAAAGTCCCCCAGAGACCCGTGCTCTTACCACTCCCGCTGCCCTCCCATTAAGAGGAGTATTATTTCAAATGCTTAGATCACTCTTGTCTGATGCCACCCGCTCATGCGTCCATTCCTCTCCTTTGCATTCTGGCATCTCAGGAAGCCTATCAGATCAGGCAGGTATTAGCATCCTCATTTTCTGGACATGTTGCAGACAAGCTCTGGCCTTCCCAGTGTGTTGAGGAGATGCGAGTTCAGCTCCTCAGAGCCTGCACAGCACCGAGCATCATGGTGGCACGTGTGCCACAGTGGTAAGAGCCTCGGTTCCACCCTGCTAACATCCCATCCTTCCTTATCCCTTGCTGGTTGTATGACCTTGGGCAAGATATCTTATTGCCCAGTTTTTACTTTCCTTCCCTGGAAAGAGGTTAAAACAATTGACTTTATAGGGTTTTATTTATTTATTTATTTTGATGGAAACAGGGATTGAACTCAGGCTCTTACACTTGTCAGGGAAGGGCTTTTTCTACTGAGCCATCTCCCCAGTCCCTATAGGCCTTTTGAGAAGTAAATAAAAAATATATAAGAAGCACACTTGCCTAGAGCCTGGCACTTAGTAAACACTATGATAACCTTTCATTGGGACTTGGAGGACGAGACATGGCTCCAGGAGGTGGGTAAAGTATAAGATAGGGATTCAGATAGAAAATATTCTGGGGCTTTGGCTATGTCTCTAAAGTGTTTCCTCCAGTTTAAGGAGTTAACATAATATATGGTAGAACTTTTTTGTGTGTGCTATTGGGAATTGAACTCAGGACCTTGTGCTTGCCAGGCAGGCGCTTATTCTACTGAGCTATCACCCTGGCCCCCTATAGAACATTTAAAATTTTTCCTATATGCCTACCCCTCCCCAACAAAATTGAATCTGAATGGGGGCCCTTAGGAAGAAGCCACCTCCCTGTATCTCTACACTAACTTGGACCCTACATCCCAGTTCTTGGCTCCCAGATCTGAGAGTTAAAAACAACAGCTCCATAGCCTTCACAGTGAATTATACTATCTCTCACTTTATCAGAATTTTGATCATCGAATGAAGATGTGAATGAATGAATGCATGAGATTCTTTCATGCCTAGATATCACTCATAAAAGAATAATGAGAAGAGTAGGGCCGGAGAGATAGCTCAGTGGACTAAGTGCCTGTTTAGGCAAGCACAGGGACTAGGGTTCAATCCCAGGTACTACCTGCCATACCTTCCCTGCCCCTGGGTGCACTGAGCCAGCAGCAATGGAGTATGGGCATGGTG